ACGTTTGACTTCTTCCAACATGCTATACTCTGACCACACTCTGTCAAATATTGGGACGAAAATACCAAAGTAACTTACAATTCCATTTGACCCTAAACAGAGGAGTACCTGATCACTGTAACTGATGAAACTGAGGAAAATGTTTCGACAATGACAATGTACAGCCATAGAAACTGGCCGTCACAGGCAGAACAGACTAATCAGGGAAGTCAGGCTGTTCTCAGGTAAAATATAGTTATTCTGGAATATGTCATTTAGCTTCGGCAATAATGTAACCTGAACAGCCAATAAAGCTGATTTGAATTGAATTAGAGATAGAGCTATAGAGAGCTAGACAGCTACAGGTGTGAACATGGCATAAGAAGGAAGGAAGGAAGGAAGCAAGGAAAGAAGGAGGGAAGAAAGAGAGTGAGGCCAGGTGCTAGAATTGTGTTTTCAGAAGATCATTTGAGTGGTGTTTCACTGCAAAATATCGCCTACATATGTATTACTGGAGACTCCTACATGAAATTAAATCATCACTTGTGTATTTTCTTATCCATTGTGTGGGTGACATGAACTGGCCACTTCACATAAAAGCACATCCAGTAACAGTGGATATGTTTTCTGTGTGTAAATGACTGAGTCTTAAATTAGGAGGCGCAGAAAGCTCAAAGGGCGTAGTGAAGGAAAGAAGATGGCCTTTGATATTAATGGATTAACATATTTTGAGTTTGAGAGTGGAATTGATTTATGCACAAGAGCTTACAGAACCCTCGAGGTAATTGTGTGATTCTTCCACCCCCGATGACAGAAGGCAGGGTATTGTGCTGCAGCATACCGTGGAAAAAAACACTTTCCAAAGACAGCTACCGAGAAACTGTTATTGCTTGTTTAGTCATTCTTGTGCAGGTCAGAAATGCCCAGGGTTAGTGTCATATCATATCATCTTAAAATGTTACTTCTCTTACGGGTAAAAATAGAAGAGCAGGGTCGTTTTGAAATGAACTTGGACACTTTGTGGACCTGAACTCATTTTGAAACTAATTAAGCAAAACAATGCTGAGAAATGCCTTTTGTTTTTGTGTCTTGCATTTCACAGACAACCAGCTAGGAATATTGCAACTGTGCTGAAGCCAAAGTAAAGGCTTACAACAGACCCGTCTGGTCCCGTATGGGGAATTTTAAGAGCTACTCTAGCAGCATAAATGTGTTTTGTCAAAACACAGAATGTTAGCCCAATAACTTGGCTGAAATTGTCCAGACTTAATAAATTGAACTGATCCTGCCCCAATGGAACGAGTTCTGTAAAACAAGAACACTATCATTGACTGTAATGCCCCTAAAACCAGGAAATTCAAAGCCACAAATAAAACATCTGCACCTCTAGTCCAACCTGCAACACCTATTGGTAAAATAGTAGCAGCAGCAGCGATTTAGACCAACAATTATAGACATGCTGGTGTGCGTGCCTTCCACATTCAAGCAAAGTAATAGCTTCTACAATTGTTACACGTGTATTAATGCAGCATTGTTTTTTCTCAAAATATATTCTACAGAGTCCCATCTGAAGGAGTGTATGAAAGTTTAGACCTCAAATAATGACTGACGGTTACATTATGAAGCAAACTGATAACATACAGGGTTCCTATTAGCTTCCCAATGGTCTGCTGAGGACAAGAACATGTCACGAAAGGTGCACTGCGCTTCAAGTGTTGCGTTTACAGGTCGCTAAGACACAGTTGTCTGGCTACAGTAGATCTCTGGGGATTTACCTCAACAGCAGATTCTCCTGAGTGTCACTCATCAACGCACACACTTACATGTACAGCTTGTTCCTCAGGCAGCCTATAGGATAAGAGAAGCACCGCGTTCTGTGTCCTGGATATCTGCTCATTTTGTCATCAAACTAAACGGGCTACAGGGAGGACTTCAGGCGAACGGCAATTACATCTTTTTGACACGTCATAGTGGCTTCAGATCAGAGGTCTCTATTGTGACCAAGCAGAGAGGCTGAGATGAAGGCCAAGGCTTTGTCCGTGAGGGAGTGCACCTGGACGTCAGAGGAGTGCCACCTAGTGGATGAGCTGCATGGAGACTCCCAGAGGGACATCTTTTGTTTACCAAATATATTCAGGTCCAAAAAAGTGAAGCCGCTCACAAGGATTCAGACTGGACCCACTTACCAGGTGTACCATACAGCCAGAGAGCTCCTGCTTGAAGTGCTGGACAGAGGAGCCATTCGGGAGCTGATCAGGAGAGCCGCTGGAGTGAAGCCAGGGGCGAGACGTCCGTCGTACAACCAGAGCAGAGAGCAGAGTGCAGATCTCTCTGAGGAGGAGTATGCCGAGGCGTTAACATGGTTCTCCATAGTCCTGCGGAGCGGTCTGTCTGTAGGGGAGAACTGGAGCTTTGGCTCCGAGTTGACCCTGAGACTGGATGGATGGCAGGGCGTCCTGAAGAGAAACAGCTTCCAGAACAACCTCCTGTCTCTGACCAGACTGGAGGATGGAGACAAGTTGGAAACCCTCTCTGCGTTCTGTAGCCACTTAACCAGGCACTACCAGGCCTTATACACACCTGGCCACAAACTGGCGGTGAAGAAATACAGACTTTCCTACCAGCAGGGTCCTTGCGCTCTCCATCTTGCCCTCCTCTGTGACACCAGCTCCGGGTTCATCTGTAACATGTATCTGTATTGTCCAGAGCGACTCCAGAGGCAGAGCAGGGCAACTGTAGTTGAGCAGGTGGTCAGACACCTGCTGAGACCTTTCTGCAGCCACAGACACCTGGTTCAGCTGGACAGCTCTGCTTGGGGGCTCACAGACATTTTCTCTGGCTTAGGGGTGGATATTAATTTTGCCCCGACTGTTGAAAGATCATCTTCATCTCCACCACTCGTACCCGATCAGCTCCGATCTGAGGACTCACCGTCTCCACTAGTGGCCCACCTGCAGGGTTGGACTGGACCTGCTCTGTTTCCTTCGTCAGACCTGAAGGGATCAGATGTGTTTCTCCCAGGCCTTTGGGTGACGCTACACGTCATCTGCATCAACACATTTATGCTCCACACTCTGCAGAGGCAGGGCTCAGACAAGCAGGTCCACCTGACAGAGTTCACCAGAACTCTGGCCTCCAAGCTGGCCGAGGACAGCAGCGTCACTGTGCCTGCTCTGCAACGACTAAGCAGCAGCTCATGCCAAGAGACAGGCTTCACAAATCATTCTAAGCAAAGGTCAGTCTTACTCTTACGTTTCTATTCAAGCTAATAATAGCCTTCACAGTATTACATGTTTGAAACAACAAAGAAAAAAGGCAAGCGAGTGATAACTTCTATTTTTGAAAGCATTTGAAGCCTAAAAATATATTTGCATCGAGGCGAGCTGTGGAAGTCTCGGTTATTCTGAATTCAATTCAATTGATTTCAGTGCAACTTCAGCTGAGAATGACTCAATATGGCATCGACAAACTAACAAAATGTGGAATTACATTTTCTCAGGATAGTGCACAATTTGGGTCATTTAATTAAGACACAGTTGTGCAAGACGTAACGTTTGTGCTATTGGTCTATTAGTGTAAACTGGGTTGATCGTTTTAATATGAGGGTGGTGACTTATAATTATCATCAATATTTAAAAATATGCTGGTTGTTTTTTTCAATTAACCGATTATGTTATGAGTTATACATTTCTTCAGTCCAAAATACAAATATATGAAATTTACAATTATTGAGACTACATCAAATGATGTGCAACGTTGATGATAATGTTTTGATTTCTGTTCACTGGTCTTGCAGGACAAATAGCATCAGTCGTGGTCAGGTGGTGGAAAATGAGCAACAAGGCTGCAGCTCTGCAGTGCGGCTGCACGGGTGGAACAGAGCAGGAGTGTGCGGTTTGGACAACTCGGGCAACTCCTGCTACTTAAATGCTGTGTTACAGTGTTTGTGTTCCACTGTGCCCCTCGTGGAGCACCTCCTTAATCAGGACACTCGCAAAGAGCTGGGAAGGTAAGACCCCCCCCCACCGTCGTCTCTCTCTCTGACAGAGACTGTCGTGTTTTCCCAGCGGTTTAACCTCTGTCCAAGCAGGTCGAAGTGCCGTGTGGCCGAGATGTTTGTCCGCCTGCTGGAGGAGATGTGGCTGGGAAGCAGCTCCAGCTGTGCCCCTGTGGAGGCTAGGTCTGTGATGTGCTCCATACTCCCCCAGTTCAACAACTACTCCCAACAAGACGCCCAGGAATTGCTGCTCTTTCTCCTCAACGCACTCGACGACGACCTCAAAAAGGTGCGGCGGCACGTCCACGACGCGTACCTCTCTGTGGCCAATCACCACACCTTACAGAATGAGTAGATCTGTGTCTGTTTGTTTACAAGGTTGCAAAGCGCCCGATGCGCTCCTCAATACGACGGTCGAGGCGAGACCAGAACAGAAACTGTGCCACCGCAGCGATGGAGTCCACCACCGTTGTCTCGCGTTTGTTCGAGGGCCAGCTCGGCTACAGGACCCTCTGTATGCACTGCGGCCTCCAGACACACAGCACTCAGACCTTCACTGTACTGTCACTACCGATTCCAACAGACATCATTAAGTGCTCCATTCAGGTACCCTTTAACACCTGCAGGTGCCACTTTGCACCAAACGTCCACCAGACTGTATGCATGTCACGTTTTTTTAAGATATTGGTGGTCTTGGTGCTTCCCCACTCATTTCTGCCTCTTCGTTGTGCAGGATTGCCTGTCACTGTTCTTCGAGCAGACTATCCTGACCGAGGGAGAGCAGATGCAGTGTTCGGTGTGTGGGGAGAGGAGAGAAACAACAGTCCTCACTTGTTTGGACAAACCTCCTGAAATCCTTATGTTGCACCTGAAACGGTGGGTGGACACAAAACACAACCTGTTAAAGGTGACACTTAACAGTAAGAGCACAAGTTAAATTCATGAACCTTTAGTTATTGTGAAATGCATGAGAATAAAAACTTAAGTCATCACTGATAAAATAATCTCACCTTAAAGGTCTGCATGATCTTCATAAGCAGATGTTCTTTGCCTAGTTGCCATTTAAGGACTTTTAGTCCATGTTGGTTTAGAAGTTCAGTTTCAAACTTCATTCTTGAGCTTTGACAAACTGGCAAACATGTGGAAGCTGAGAGAAAGACTCCAGATACTAACTTGAGAAGATTTTAAATTCTGGATGATTTAACTGCGAGTGAACATTCCTAACGTTATGGGGCCTGTATCCATATTGAGCAACAGACCATCACAATCAACCGTGTGCATTAGTGAATTGTCTGCATAAAAATGCACTAATATGAGTAATTATGAAGGGCTATGTCTAAATACCCTGGAGATACTGCTGTGGGTATTATTAGCTGTTAATCAATGTGATCTTTATCTCCTCTGCAGGTTTGGTTGTAAGGGGAAGAACCAGGTGAAACTGAGGACTAACGTCGTTTTCTCCTCGAGACTCGATCTCGCCCCGTTTCTATCCAGCTCAGAACAGAACACCTTATACTCTTCATACCGCCTCTATGCTATTGTGGTCAGTGTGTACACAAGTACACACACACACACACACACACACACACACACACACACACACACCAAAGTATAGTAATATTAGCGTGAAATGATGCATTACGGACAAATGGAGTTTTGATTTTGTCCAAAACTTTTGTCTGTCATAATTTTCATGTAAATTTCCCTTTTCTAGAACCACACAGGTCACCTGAACATGGGTCACTACACAGCTCTGTGTCACAACGCCTTGACTAGATCCTGGCACTGTTTTGACGACTCAGCGGTCAGAGAGGTACGGGACAGCCTCGTTCAATCTCCGAATGCCTATGTGCTGCTCTACAGCCGCAAGCCCTTTCAAAAGCCAAAGATCCACGGACTCTGAGCTCTCCAACCAGCAGGCCAAATCCACGAGGGGACCGAGTTTCAACTTCCTTTTTCTTGTTTTATCCAAGCTTTTGTTTTTTTAAACTGTTGTTTTTTTCTAATGATCACACACGGTATCGGTATAGCCTCAGGAACGACGAGACTAGAACATAACAGGAGGGTTTCATTCAGCCGTTAGCCGATTTATCCTAAAAGAAAAGTCACACAAACAGTAATTTGAAGCAGTTTTAATAAATAGTCATGAGTTGTAGGAGGTTAATATAATTGTTATATCTGAAAGACCATTAAGAAATAAAATCAACATGTACAAGTAAAAAGAAAACAGATTATGATCTCATGCTTGGCAATAAAACTTTACTTAAGAAGTCAAATCCTGTCGCCTCAGATCTCTGGTCCGTTCAGAAGATACATCGGTACACTTTGTGCTTGCTCATGTCAGTCAGTCAGGCAGCAAATGTTGACGCTTCTGTAAGCGAATAAGGTCAATTTCTCAAGTCTTCATATTCTCCCGGGTCAGTACTGAACACAGAAACAAAATAAATCAGATAAATCTAAATTACAGCCTCCTGGAAACTTTCACAACCAGCAGCACTGATGTAAGCCGAGAAGGATGCCAAGTTATCCCAGTAGTTTGTCCTCTAAATAGTTTTTGTGTTTGAATATAATAATGTAAAGAGTTACGTATGTTTAACAGAGAACACATTTTACAACAACCTTTATAGAAGCAGGTAACAGCAAGACAGCCGAGCTCTCAGCATCAGTATAGTTTTAAAGCGTTCCGAGTCGAGTATTAATGTCTGCTGTTCAACAAAGTGCTCTACATAAACAACTTAAATTGATTGTATAATGTGTGAGTGCAACAATGTGGCTAATATGAACACGCAACACTCTCCGGTCCCTCCTCTCTTAAGGAAGAATGCAAAAGTCAACGCTCACGGTCTCCTCCATCCCCTTTAACATCATGTTAAACAACAGAAGTCTATCGAGTTCAACCCCTAAAACACAGTCTGTCGTTATGAATATGGTGATACTATGATGGCTGCTACGTTCAAAGAAAAAATTCTAATTTGGTCACTTAACAGATTAACACCTTGCCCTCCAGTATTTACATTTTTGAATGTGCAACATCAGCATCGGTAAGTATGTACATGCCGTCTAACGGTTGACCCCGGTGTAGACACGGTACAAGGAAGCTGATCAAGTTCTGCGATACAGCCGTCCCCGCCGAGTGCAACAGAAATGAGAGCGAAGAGCATCTGAACCAGCTGTCAGCCCTACAACACAACTACCGAGAAGTCAGAGTAAAAGGAGCATCCGTTTATTCGCTAGATGATCAGTAATATGAACAGACGGCATGTTTTAACAGGTATAAGGTCCTCTAGTAGCTGAAGCATTGTGCTGTCTGCACATTCCTCAGATCTGCCACAGACGGGATCTCGTCGCCACTCGCTCGAGTGCGTCCTCGTGTGCTCATACACGACTACTGAACCTGCAACTACGTGCACCAGGTCCTCAGAGCTGTGATTAAAAAAAAAAAAAAAAAAAAAAAAAAATCAACCTCTAGGCTCTTGAGCTCCGCTGCTCTGGTGTAGTATTCTGTCTTCGTGTCCGACGGCTCCATCACAGGGCGGAGTAAAACAGGATGTAGGCTGCGGAGGACTTGACGGTGGTGGTGGAGATGTCGGTCACCTCGTGGTCATCAAACTTGTACCAGCGCTGTTTGGGCGCGTTCTTACAGTAGGCTGTGTAGTGGCCACCGTCTAAACCCCCGTAGTGGTTCTGGTAGTGGAAAAGAAGAGGGTTAACAGCACATCATTATTAGGATGTGATTGTTTCTCATTTGAATATGAGCTGAAGAGATAAGGTTGGTGATGTTCCTCAGAAACAGCTTTTGTTGCATTTGATGAAATTCTATTTACATCCCGATAGCAACAGATAAATGAAATGCTCTGACAAAGAAAGAGAAAAGGATCCGGTATCTGTGGCAGGACCCGATAAGCCCGCTCAATCATTTTATTTGTCCCGGATGTAATGATGGGAGAGGCGACCATGCCCGTCTACCTACAAGCTGGATTTTCTTTGCTCGTCTCTCAGGATTAACAAACCCTATAGTCACTTTGTCTTGCCGTCACGGGGCCAAAACATTGGTACACAAATTTGTTATTGGCTTTTTTTCAAACTATTTATGGGCTCTACCAATAAGGACTGACCGCTTTATAGGAGATGAACAAGATATAACAATATAATACAATAATACTACATTGCTCTCTGGTGTGCATCTCTTAACCTCTTCTGTAACATATTCATTTTGTTTTACCGTTTGTCCAAATAAAAAATACATAAATATTAATTTTTTTTTTTTTGAAATACACTTCACAACATAACCAATTTCACTTTTACTTACAGAAACTCCATAAAGGCAGTATCTCTTCGGTGTCTGATTTGGTCCAATGACGTACTGGGTCAGGTCCAGAGTGTCTAGAGGGAAGTCGACATGAGTCTGCAGCTTCTGCTTCCACCTCCCCTCGTAGGAGAACCTGCAGAAATTACGCCCATTAGAGAAAAAGAGTGTCAATGTGAGAACAGTGAGAAAAATGCTGATCTGATTTCCTAAACAGTGAACGTGTGTATTTAGTTGTACTAAGGCAGGGGACAAAGAATTTGGTCTTTGTCTACATTATTTTGAACGCAAACAGGACTACGGACCGTTTTAAGTGCACCAGGACGATGGGCGGGACCTTCCAGATCTCCAGTTTCTTGGTGGAATCTCTGTGGGCCTTGCAGTGTCTGCAGAACACCTTGTTGTTGTCGGTCAGCTTCTCTTCTTTGGAGAACAGCCTCAGACAATCCTGCCAAGAAACAGAGAACAAAATCAGTCAAGCACAACAAAGTAGCCTTTTTATTTTTGATACATAGAAACTCAGGACACATTTTAAGCCTCGAAGATGTAGTCAGAAAATGTCTTGTGTGTTTGTCAAGAAAAATACTGTGAAACTCAATAGCACAGTGTAAACAGGTGAAAATGTTGTGTGAAGATGAAAGTAACGTGTTTTTACTTTGAGTAGCTATGTGCCTCAATAAAAAGGACAAGCTCTGACAAGCTCCCGACACACGCTGTGATTCACATGTTTAATGTCTGACCGACCTGCAGGGAGCACTTGCTGGTGGAGGCCAGAGGCAGCGACAGGTACATAAAGGTCTCAAATGTCCGTGACTTGCGGTGGCAGGTCAGACACTGCACAGTGGACTTGAACTGCCCCTGGAACAGTGCTACAATGATGGACTCATTGAGCAGCTTGTGTTTGCTCCAGGCCAAGTCGGCTGCCGTCTGATCATCCAGATGGTCGTTTTCCTCCTCCTTGTACCGCTTCCTGTTGTCCGCCTGACACCAGAGAGGGAAACGTGTTGGTACACAAGCACAGCTGCTGCTGTAGGTGTTAGCAAAACCTACCTTCATGACTCATGGCAGATACATGATATACTGGTAATGACTACGATACAGTAAGCGTTGAGAAAACAGAACTAAATATCTAAAATGATAAACACCTATCTAATCTCTTTCAGCTTCATTAGCATGCGTTTCAGCCAAATCACTTAAATTATGACATGTAGGAAGATATGAGAGGCGGGTAAACCCTTTCTAATTAACATCTCATTAATTAGACTGACTGATTTATCATTTAGTGCGGAGAGACACAGTGGACTGAGACGGGGCCAGCCTGATGGCAGACGGGTCTGAACATCACACAAAAGGGGATGTGATGAAATGGTGTGTTGCATGAGAAATGCACATTATCAGCCTTCACCACCTAAATGGCACTTCATCCTTCAAATTTTAAAAGAGTGAATAGCTCGATATTAAATTGTGGTGAATGCATTACTTCAACTCAACCCCAGGTGGAGACAGTTGTCAAAGTATCTCAAAGCTGCCTGTTCTTCTAAGAACCATCTCCGACAGCATGTGGCCTTCACTAGGAAAAAGGAAGATTCACCTCGTCCTTTCCCCATTCAAGTGCACATGAAGCCAGTAAAATCATTCGATACAGGCAATGAGGCATGTCTTGGGTCTACATGCACAGAGGTTCTGACAGAGCATCAGACCAGACAGATGCAGACACGCCACACACACACACACACACACACACACTGCTGCAGGAGGAGGACCAAGGACACACAGCTATTTACTTACTCTCTAATTTGCCATCAAAATGAAACCAGGTGAAAAAAAAAAAAAAACAGAAAGAAGGAAAATGACAAAATACTACAGTTTTATCGTCAACAGGCATATGTGCAACAACATACGGGGGTTGTAAAAGACAAGCCATAGAAAGCCATGGTTAAAATGAATAAATTACTTATTATTTATTCACTCAAGATTTAATTCAGGGCGAGCACGTTTAGATGCAAGTGTTTCTCAAGACTTTTAAGACTTTATTAATGCCACACTGATGTTGCATGAAACAGGTGTGTGCGCTACCTTGTTGAGGTCCTCGTGGAGCCCATCCATGAGGAACAGCAGCAGCTCCTGGGAGTCTTGCTGGTCATAGCCCGCAAATTGGTCATTGATCTTGCCTATGGTGATCTTGAAGTCCCGCGGACTGATGCACTTGTACAGACCAGCCCACAGGGCCTTCATGATCACACCAAACTCCTCTGCCACCTCCCCTTTATGGCCCAGTATGTTGTACCTGTCAGAGGAAGAGAGCGGAGGTAGAGATGTTAAATGATTGCCTTTGCATGAATCTTTATGGTCAGTGATTGCACCTATCTGGGCCCCGACCTGTTGATGTCCTCCAGGTAGTAATTGTTGTTGAAGTACTCAGCCATGCCCGTAGTGTTACACAGACACTGCAAGATGGAGTTCATGTAGCAGGTGTTGCCCATGTTACGAAGGCCAGTCAGTGATGGACCCAGACCTCCAAATGAAGGATTCAGGTTGCGAATTTTGGCAGCTGATGGCCGAACAATCTCCACTTTAGAGTAGACTTTACTAGGAGGTCTGAAAGGCAGAGGAGCACAATGAGAGGAAGCCAGACTAGTTTCTGCAGAGATAAGACTAAAGGAAATATAAGTAATATAGTCTAACGAGATACACTGCAGATTAGATTACGACAACAGATACTAGATGCAGGACATTGTCCATTTATTACAGTTCCTGGACTTCCTGGAATTGAATTAAAACATCCGTGTGCCTTACTTTGTCTCTCTGTTGATGGTGGGTATGACAGCAGCAGTGATCGGGGCGGCAGCCTTCTTCTGGGCCTCCTCTCTCAAGTCCTGGCTGATATCAGGGGAGGAGTAGGAGCGTTTCAGTTTAGACTGTTCCCGCTCTTGCTCACTGCTGGTGTCTGGCTCAGCTGCTCGCGGTGGTTTCTGTTTGACTGTTGGCGGCGTGGAGGGTGGGGTCTGGGGAACAGTGACCTCAGGAGGGTAGAGGTGGACACGGTTGGTTGGGGAATGGTAGTATCGGTAGGTCCCTGTCACCGTGTCAAGGAACTAGCCAATAAATGGAGGGGTGAACATAAAAAGAGATAGAACATTAGGGAGAAGAATAATTATTTCTCAATTCAAATATACGCTTTTTATTTAACTTTCATCTCTGACTACACCAAAAGACTCAACATATTTCAGATTTAAACATCTGGTACCTTCATCCAACCGACTGGAAGGCCTGGTACACTCCTACCCATCTCCTCACTCCTTGCTCGGGTCAGGGGCTCCCTCTGTGGGACGGACACGGACACACACACACCATCTTCACCTAAAGGTTCTCTACAAAAATAATCACGAGGGACTTTCATGGTGAGGACAAGAGAAATAATAGGTATTTCTGAAGCCCAATGTCACGGGCACGTCAGCGTTGTTCAGCATAAAACAATTGACAAAACATTCTTGTTTTTGTCTTTTTAAACAAAACAAATTTGAGAATATCTACAACACCAACTTGTGTCTACAGTATTTCTTCTCAACTGACCTAATTGCACATGTATTTGTTTGTTTTTATCTATTTACAATCTCCACATCAAACAAACGTCGGCGGTCAGTCTGAATGGAAAGAGCTGGACAGCTCGAGCTAGTGGCTGAGCCCAAGAGAGAAACTATACAAATGGAACTAAAAGTGAAAGTAACAGTATTTGGTCATTCTGTCATGTCATTCTGGGTAACTATATAATGTCCAGTCTCTTTCTCAATACTGTCACAAAGAGGCAATAAATGCAAATAAAACAACTCACCTTAATTTCACTAACGATATGGTTGGGAGCAGGAGAGTCCAGAGACATACTCTTGGAGGGAGTGTCAGAGTTCTGCTCCTTACCCCTCCTCTCCTTCCCGACCCGCCCCCTGTTCTCTTTATCTTCCTCTTCTTCAGCCTTCTGCCTTTCCAGTTTCTTTTTCTCCTGAGTTCCAGTCTCCTCATCTTCCTTCTTCCTCTTTTCACTTTGCTCCCTTTCTAGCCTTTCCTTCTGGTCCTTCTCCCGTCTCTCTTCCTCTACACGACGCTCCTGGTTGCGTTTCTCCTGCTCTTGCTTCGCCTTCTCCATCCCTGCCACCGCCTCAGAGTGTATCTGGCTTTGTTCTTCTTTAGACAGAGAAGTGTTGGGGATGAGGGGTGGTTTGACTGAGCGGTCAGGGGCAAGTCGGCCGTTCTGCAAGGAGTCCTTTGCTGACCCGTTCTGGCTGGGCTTGGGATCGTTCGACACCCGGACAGAGGGTTTCTTGGTACGGTCAAACTGGGACAGCAGGATAAGAGAATAAAACAAAGCATGAGCGATGCTTAGCACACTAGAGTTCTTAATATTTAGCACTCTCCCAAAGTATATTAGTTATCAGGGCCGTTACAATACCTGGGGGAAGGCCTTGGTTGTTGCAGGCGACTGACTGGATGTGCCTGCCGCAGGGCCCTTCTGACTAAGGTCTTGCCCAGAATTTGTGGAGCCTGCGACGGTGGAATCGACAGCATCTGGCAGCCTGTCGGTAACCATGGAAGTTTCAGATGTGGGGGGTTCTGCTGGTGGAACCCCGTTCACCAGCACAGGAGCAGAGGGTTCCTGAGGCTTGGGTGTAACCTCAGGCTCTGGTGGAGGTGGGGTCGGAGGCTTTGGTTCCTCGAGGGATGGGTAGCTAAAGTTCACTGTTCAAAACATCAAGAAAGTAAATAAAAAGAGAATCATTTTCTTAGAAAGAGCATCCTTATCTCACTGTATAATGTAATCTCCTCACCGCCAATGTATGTCCACTAAAAGTGCTTGCATTTGTCACCGACAGGCTGAGGTTATTACAAGTGTCTGACAAGTTTGTGGGAAAAAAACCCGACAGAGATATAAAACATTTTTCTTCCACAACATCACAGCCTGTTTAGCGGTTGCCGTCTGCAGCTTTCTCGCTCAATACCGGACCGATTGTCAATGTGTTGTCCCCATTAGTCAAGGATCAAGTCCAGCAAACACAAGCATAACGTGGGATGCAACGCTCAGAAATGGATTTTGTGGACTCAATAATAAATATGATTAAAAAAAAATAAATAAATAAATAAATCTGAAACAAAATTAAACCTATTTTACTTTACTAATCTTATCAATTTGCTGCTATAATTTCTTTTTTTTCTTTTAAAAAAAAGCCGCTGCATCAACACAAACAATAAATCAAACTACGTGATGTGATAAACACAAAGAGCCAAGCAGTGCTGGTAATACTCACACTGAGGGGTGGTGCTGATGATATCCTGTCTAGGGGCGCGAACTTTAGCGTTGGTCGTGTACATGGGGTAAAACAACAGCCAGTTCTCGTAACCTCCCTCCAGCACCAGCGGCTCACTACGCAGGATGGTGATGCTGTCCCACTGGGCAGTGTGCAAACATATTATTATACTTCACAGGAAAGCTCTGCTGTTATTATTCACACTTTAGGAGTCACACATAAGCCTGTGCACAAATGGCCACAACCCCACACAACCACAACCACACACACACACACACACACACACACACACACACACACACACACACACACACACACCTTGAAGAGGGCATCTTTGAGGCTCTGTAAGGTGGTGCCAAGAGTCAGGTCAGTGACAGAACTGAACCAGTCCAGGAGGACTATATAATCCACAAATCCCCGCCTTCTCCAATGCTCTTTAGACACCTCCGGCAGCTTCGCCTCAATCTGATTCACAGTGATTCTAAAAAGTCATGACATACCAGTTCAGGAGGTCAGGTTTAAGGAATTTGACTTTTTTTAAAATCTATCATTGTTTGACGGTTAATGACAAAAAGCAGAGGGAATAAAATAACAAGTTAGAAAAAATAAATAACATAATAGATTCCTTCATATTATGCCTCCAAAACCAGATTACAAATGACACATTCAGTGTCAGATCAAATCAGGTATGAAGCCTGGTCTCATAACCCCTTTCTCACCCTGGACTAATGGCCTCCTCAGGCACACTGACGCAGGTCTGGCCTGGGACCTGAATGCGAGACTCCTCAAAGTTCCTGTGGCTGCGGGCATCCATGACAATTAAGGTTATCGTCTGGTCCTTCATCATGTGGAAAAGCCTCTCAGCTGAGATCCCACCAGCTGGCACCACAGCTACCAGATAAAGTCATTCCATCAACACAAAATAAAAAGTAATAACGGACTAAAATTTGCACAAAACTTCATGGGTTTAAGACTAAACATAATGTCAGTAAATGTCTCAGTTCCTAGAATGATTCTCCCCTCAGAAAGGACTACATAGGTTTATCAGACCTCGTTGTGTTAACTGCTTACCTTTTGAGGTTGTGTTCTTGAGTTCATTCTGTTCTCCTTTCACCTGACATACAGACACAACAATCATCTTGTTAATATTTTAATGTTGATTTCCTCTTCCATGAAATAACTCCATTATAAACATACTATTACTTACGAGGACATTTATATATTTGTTAATGAAAATAGCAGAGTTGCTGTTATTACTGGTATGATGTGAACTGTAGACGTAAAACTACGTAAATTCAGTGAGTGTATAATTTCCATTTGAATCAAGTGTCTCATGTGAGTATGTTTTAATATGCAGCACATCTCTACCTTTTTGCTGTCCTTCTTGTTTGCTGATGACACTTTTGGAGCGCTTCGACCGCCATATTTCTCTGTTATTTCCTCCCTCCTTTTCTTCTCCTCTTGTCTCTCCTTCTCCTCAAGTATTTTTCGAACCTCAACTTCCTCATACCTGTTAAAATGTGAAGATTAGCCGAGTAAAATAGAAAAACATTCCTCATATGCTACCTTGCAGCTTATGCATAAATAGCATGTGTACAATCCAAGACAAGTCTCTAACCTGAGTTTAAGGCTTTCAGAGAGCTTCTCGGCTTCTTCGATGGCTTTCTTGAAGCTGTTTGGCCCAAGCATGGTCATGTAATACTCCTTGGACAATGGAATAGAGAAGAATTACATAGAAATACCCAATTCTTGATAAATTTCCATAGCAACATCAAAAATACACAGAAAAAAAGACGCAGTTTTACAATTATTAACTATACCGGTTGCTGCATGAAGTCTGGTCTTTTCTTGATAATGTCATATACTGTTAGATACTTCATGTACAGCACATACGCCTTCTCCTCATCTCTGTCCAGACGACACTCCTCTGCCACCTTGAAGAGTTTGCAGGCACTCTGAACATAGCTGCAACACAGCAAATTACAAAAATAATTTAATTAATATCATTGCAATATCCTTGATTTGACTAGGGGCCTTTTTTGGTATGTTATCCCCATCTGGCTGCCCTCACTTAAAGACAGTTACTCTGTGTTATGAGTGTGTTCTTACTGTATGCCATACTGGGTTGACACCAGTAAACAAAAAAGCGTAACGTTACCTTCTGGTGCTCGTCTTGTCTGGCTTAATTTCAGCCTTTTTATTGAGTTCACCCAGAGATGTGGACAGATACAGCTCTCTGACCCCGGTGGAGACTGCAGGCATCTTCGCGGTCGTGTTCAGTCAGAGCTCACAGGCAGGAAACCAGTCAGTGCTGCACACAGGAGCCGAACATACCTGGAATACACGTGAAACTAAATAAACAAAAACATCCAACTAGCTACTCCTGTCCAAATCTATTTTTGAATAGCGTTTGCTCAGAGATAAGTTGCTGTTGGCTTCCAATAGTATCAGTCTCAGCGAGATTACAGTTAAATTAAACGAATTGAGTTAAAGTTATGAAGCATTTAAAAATGGCCACAATTAGACCGGCTGAAAACATGACATGTCGATGATATTTAACGTTACATCTGATCTCAGCTACCCCAGGCTGTTGTTCTCACTGTTAGCCAATATTATCTAGCTTGTGGTGTTATTTAGCTGGCGCGGGATATGTCAACATTGACAACAACAAGTAGCTAGCAGTTTCCTGGCTAACATTAGCCTTGACCGGTTGCCCGTTGGACAGCTAACGGGAAACAACATTGGTGTTGTTCAACCTAGATTATACACCAACCATTGCTTTAATACAAACACAATTTAGCTCGCTAATTAAATGTTAACTTAGCGTTGTTACCTTCTCAGCTAGCTACGTTAGTTAGTGAGCTACGCTCAAAGCTGACGCAGCTTGGTCAGCTAAAGTTGTTTAGCTATTTAACTAGCTAGTGTTGCTGCACAGGTAGTCACAGCTATGGTCACATTCAGCAGTAAAAAGACGCCCTCTAGTAATAACTGACTGTCTGTTAATAAGATGCTGTTCATTTTAAAATTACCTCTTTCTGATCCGTTGCTTACACTTCAGCTACTTTTTTTTGACAGCTGATTCCTGATTTCTTGTTCCGCCTCCTCCTCTTCTTCTTCTCTGGCGTTTTGCGGCAGCTGGTGTCTTTAATGTTGCCGTTCCGCCTCCTCCTCTTCTTCTTCTCTGGCGTTTTGCGGCAGCTGGTGTCTTTAATGTTGCCGTACTGCCACCTCCTGGAGCAAATTTTCTGCTTCACTGACCACTTTCTCTTGTCCTGTCCCAACTTCTCAGTACTTCAAACTCTCAAATCTCCAAGATCCTTTTCATTCGTGTATAATAGCCCTGTTTTTTGTCAGGGAACATGCCCCCTGTGCCTCTATTGTCACATGAATGTTACAGATTCTTTACATTGTTCACAAAACCAGTCCGATGTGTCCCTGCAATGTGTCCTGTTAAACATGTTATGTCCTATGGTTAATCATTGCCTTGTACTCTACCCTAAAGTCTGCAGTGTCAAACTGAACTGTACATACGTACATTAGCCTAATATGTTTTTTTGTATTCTTTTCTATATTTTCCAGTGAATCGATCATCGTTCCCTGCTCAGTGATTATCTAACTTTCAGTTTATTTCCCTTCTTCTACACCCATACTCCTCCTACATATACTTTACCAATCTCAAGTGCCATTGAGCAATACCAGCCACACTTCTGCATGGCTAAATATGACAAGTCAGGCCTGAGTTTTGTGTAATTAGGTCAGCCTTTTGTGATCACGCCTGGCAAAGCAACGATACAAGCACATACAGTGGCCACCAACCCGTCCAAAGGCCTTCTCACAGGCCACTCAGTAATGAGGGAAGAGCAAGTGTTGCTCTGTCAATATCCACTCTCAGATTTATACTGCTGGTCATAATAAAAACTATAAAACCTAAGGTGTGTCAGTCATAACTTAACAAAATTGCTGTCACTGTGAAGCAAGATTTCTAAACCCACTCTTAGTTCCCCCCCCCCCCCTTCATTCACAGATTATTAGCCAGCATGTCTTTTATGCTCCTACTCATTTCAAACTAAATCCTATCTATATGAATTGTTTCTGACTTTTGGTTTGAAATATCAAGCCCAAGGTTTTTTTTTTCTTTTTATTTGAATAAAAGCAAAAGAATATGATCCATCGGGATGCACTTTGACTTTGATGTCATGCCAATTGCGCAATTATGGTTAAGCCTGCTTTCATCAGGGTCAGGCGCCCAGACGTAAAGGCACACAAAGAGCACAATAGTCCCAGTGTGCTCTGCTCTATATCACACAACACTTATTTTTGTGTATTGCACCACACACACACACACACACACACACACACACACACACACACACACACACACACACACACTTTCCATTACTCTAGTCATTGCCTGCTACAGGGCTTCCTGCCTTCAGTGGGATCAAAAGTCTGTGCAGCAGTTGTTGCTCAGATTCAAAGAAGTTGTGAGTCAACTGTCATTCAGAGGACTTGCATGAATAAACAGACAAACTTCCATGTTGAAAGTGTCTGTGAAACTGTCCAATGGTAAATCAAAGAGTGACAGAACAAATAACATTAGATATTAAACAAACGGTATTTACAGATTTTGTTAGTGACAATGGATCCAGATCTTATTCCAGCAGGATCTTACACATATAGAACCACATGAGAGCTACCACATGTGACCACAATGCACAGTCAACAGCACAGTGTGTGAACAGTCCAGGTGCGACAGACTTTAACAAGCGCGACTCCTCATCATCTCATCTCATCTTTTTATGTGTGTTCATTCATTGTTCATTTGTTTGTAATGTCCCTATTTTATCTTTCTGTTTGCTCATGAAGAGGCATCATTTAATACAAATATTGATTTGCTCTTACACTCATCTACTGTAATGCGTCCAGGGCGGATGAGAAGAGGAAATGGGAGAGATTACTGTATGAAAGGGCACAATAGTTTTAGAAATGTATGGTGCCAATGTATATATAATCAATCTCTTGAAGAAAAGAAAATAACGTACACGTATTTCTCAAAATATGGAATTGCTCGTTCTACCAAAGAGCGATTTCCCCTCTAAACTTTTCAAACAAGTTCATATAAACTGTTTGAGGCCCAGTGAGGTCAATTATTAACATGTAATATCACCAAAAAAGTTTAAAAAAAAAAGAAAAATTCAAGTCTTTATTTCCTGCTCCTCAGATTAATCTCCTAACCTCTTGAAGGGGGGCTGAACTCCAGGTTGTTAACTATGTACTGGACTAAACTACCAAACTGTGAATAAAACCAGCTCCAGCAGGAAAACAACACATGAACATTGATGCATTGGTGGGACTTTTTTTCGAAGGGATCGACATATTCTTTGCAAAACATAACCATTTTTTTGTATTATTGTT